ACCTAGTGGCAGTTTAGCATTGTCAGTCCACCTACTTGAATGTTTTTAGGAGATGGGAGGAAACCGGAGAACCTGGAAGAACCCCACACAGACAACAGGAGAACACATGAAACTCCACACAGGCTGTAGCCCGAGCTCAGGATTGAGCCGGGGAGCCTACACACTGCAACCCTGTGTTGCCCCAATGCTAACTATTCATTTATTTATTAATCAAAGAAAGACACATTGTACACCTCATCAGTTTATAATTAGATTTAAAGTTGTGAAATATCTATGAAACAAGTTATTTCCCATTCTCACTTCTGTTATAGCAGCTATAAACAGCTATTTCTCCCTCACCAGCCTCTGTTTTTCTCTCTCTTGAAGTTAAGAAGACAAAAAAAAAATACACAGAGAAACCATAAAATGTAAAGTCCTCTCTTATGAACACATTTACATGTCTGAAAAGTTGCAGCTTTCCTCTGACTCTTGCAAAGTGCTGACACTGGAGACTCCTTCCATAAATGCTAATTTAACATCTTGCAGAAAACTTCACCATATCAACAATTACACTCATTTTTTATTTAGTTTATGCGGTGCGTCCACAGTACACATCCCTGTGAAAGAGCTGTTAGTACAGGAATGAGGACGCATTAAAACGAGCGCATTACTATAAACCTGTTATGTCTTGCAGGTGGAACTACTGTCAGAGCTGCTGTTAGAGAAATTAACAGCTTCTGACCAATTCAACAGAGCTGTGGTGTAAAATGTTAAGTTATGCAGCCCAGTGAATGTGATATTTGCTGTTCATATTAATACTGAATTGAGAAGTTGCTTTATTTCCACATCTGAAATGTAAGCTTTAGTGAGCAGACAGTAAATGGGGGGTCACTCGAAAATTGATTATCACGGTTATTAATTTAACACAGTTAATTTACAGTGCTAATAGATTGCAGTGTTAAAAATCGAGTTTTTACATGATGCATTAAAATCTCACATTTCTTTAATAATGGTGCTAACTGCAAGTGAAGTAAAAATACTGCCTGACATTAAAACCATATTTTAAAGAACTTACTCTGAGCAAGTGTCACTGCTGACAGCAGCTAGAATGAAAACAGATTCAAAAAAACACACGTGTGTATATGAACATCATCAGCGTCTGTGTGTTTGATGAAATAAGGTGGCTGTGTGCATGAATAAGTAAATGAAACCCACTGTATATGATGGCGGTGGATCACTGATGCTTTGGGGCTCTTGTGAAAAATTGATGGTATCGTAAATTCAGCAATGTATTCAAATATTTTATCCTAAAAACCTGGTTGCCTCTGCCAGGAGGTTATGATTTGGCCTGTAGATTAACTGTTTTTCAGGATAATGATACAGAAATGATTGTAGGACATAAAAGAAGTGTTTTGTATATAAAAGCCATCTTGGTCTGAATTTGAACCCTACTGAAAACTTGTGGTCAGAATCGAAGAGCGATGCCCAAACCTAAAAATGTCCAGGAGCTTGACATGTTTCACATGGAAGAGGATCGAAGCTCTAAATCAACTTTGTTGAAGGGGGTGCCAATAGTTTTGAATACAGGTTTTCTTTTTGGTGGGGTGCCAATACTTTTGCGACAAGCGCTTTGGAGAGAAGTCGTACTACTACTTGTGTTACAATAAAACTATACAACATCCTCATAAAAAGGTGAATGAAGTAATGATTAAAAACTGGACATTTTGTACGTTCTGCCGGAAATTCTGCCGTAAAGCAGGACGACTCGACCCGTGACCGTTTTTTTAAACATCAACCGTTTTCAGTATAACAGCTGGTTATACAACAGGTTTATGGAGACCCAATTCCAGCGAGAACAGATTTCTATGAAACACTGCATTCGGGAGCGCGAGACGGACTTTGGAAAAGTGGGCGGTGCAAAAAAAAAAAAGTGAACAAGGAGGGCGAAACCATTGCGACGAGTCTGAGGGGGGAGGAGGGAGACAGGGATAATCCATTCTTCCGAGGGCAGGGCTAAATATCAGGAATTCCATTTCCGTTCCAGGGATTTTTCACAAATCCTACAGGAGGAACTAGAGGAATTAAATTCTTTTTTATTTATAAGTCAGTTTTCCTTTTTTGTTGTTTTTAAGAGACACTGTTGAATGATGGCGTCCTCTCCGCAGAAGTCTCCGACCTCTCCCACTCCTCTGTCTCCCAGCTCCAGGAAGAAAGATGAAACTTTTCTCGGGAAACTCGGAGGAACTTTGGTCAGAAGGAAAAAGGCGAAAGAAGGTAAAAGTGTGAACTGTAAAACATGTACAGCTCTGTTTAAACAGCCACGCTGCAGTCCCACCCAGAGTTTGAGAAGCTCTTTAAATGAAGTGGAGTTTACAGTTTGGTGTTTGGTGTGTAATGAGGGGCGGCTCAGAAACACTGCAGCACTGCAACACTGCGAGCTGAAACATGCTCCTGCGTCTCCCTGGCGCTCTATCTGCACTTTATAACACACGAGCATAAGAGATCAAATCACTGCATTTACAGACAAGATCAACACAAACAAATCAACACATGAGGTTAAAGTGTAAAAAAGTGAGACAGAAAATTATAAAGCAGTTTTCTTATTACTACTAACAGCTATAATAACATTATTATTATTATTATCATTATTATTATTATTATTATTATTATTATTATTAAAATAAGCTAAACCTGACACACCTAAGAGCAACTAGTTCATGTAATAAGTGAATGGATGGATGAACGGATGGAAAAACAGACAAATGAACAGATGGATGGATGGATGAATGGATGGATGGATGAACAGATGGAAAAACAGACAAATGAACAGATGGATGGATGGATGGATGAACGGATGGATGGATGGATGAACAGATGGAAAAACAGACAAATGAACAGATGGATGAACGGATGGATGGATGAACGGATGGAAAAACATGAAAGGATACATGACAACAGACATGACAGACAAACAGATGTATGACTTTAACCATGACCGCTACGAGCAACTAAGATAGATAATTACATAGATGTACTTTTATTGATTGAACTTCAGGGGCCACAACAGCGAAAGTTAAACACAGAGTACACACTTAACACACACACACACACGCACACAGTGTGAATGACACCAAGGCCAAACACCACAGTTTCCATGACAACCAAAACACCAACTGAAAGTGAAAACAGTAACACAACCAGCATCCGTAACCAGTAATATGATATTCTGTGATACTCGACATGCAGCGTGTTGAGAATATCATCAGCACCTTGTCGCGTCGCCGCCTCACAGCTCCAGGGTCCCGGGTCCATCCTGAGCTCGGGTTATGGCGGAGTTTGACATGTTCTCCTCCTGTCTGTGTGGGTTTCCTCCATGTTCTCCGGTTTCCTCTACCTCTCAACAACATGCCCAGAGATGAATTGGTTGGTGACTCCAAATTGCTCCAAGGAGTCAGAGAGTGTGTGAGTGAGTGAGTAAGTGTGTGTGGAAGGTGCTCAGTGATGGACTAATGTCCTGTTCGGGTATATTCCCACCTCACCCCCAGTGTTACGGGGATAGACCCAGGAACCTCTGCGAACCTGACCAGGACAAAGCACTTCCTGAAGATGAATGAATGATTAAATATTGTGTATTTCACTTTCAAGGGTGTGTTTTTGTCACTTGTCTACTTCACAGGGCAAACTGTTGATCACGATACACAGTGAGTTTGTTGTAACGGCAGGGAAATGAAGCCGAGGGTGCCAATACTTTAAACTTAGTGCAAACTATTAGACAATGTTAAAAATACAACAAAATTAGATTCAGGGTTGAATATCAAACAGCGTTCTATAAGACACGTAGTGCACTACATACCTCATTACTTTACACCCTACGTAGTGAGCAAGTGCAGTTTATAGGAAGCCATATTGTAGTTTGTGTGTTGTTTATCGTTAACTCAGAAGTTGTTGATTTTTCTTGTGAGATTTTGTCGTCACTCAGATTGGCTGTAGTTTTTGGGAGGAATCTCTGCTCTACATCATCTCCAGTGTGAGCTCCAGCACATTCATGAGGAGTGTAAGGAGTGTGTGTAGTGTTCAGAGTGTGTAATGTAACCATGTAGGGTAATGCTGAGTGTGCTGTACAGGTCATGATGATGATTCAGAGCTCAGGCTTTAGAGAGAACACAAGCACAGCTGTAAATTCACACCTCTCTCATTTACAGCCTGAAGGAAATGTCACTTCTCGGGTTAATGCGCTTACGCTGTAGCCACTGGAAAATTTTTGGTTAATCAGGAAACATGTTCACAAAGAATCTGAAGAATCTAAAACTGGCTTAGGAGAAACTCTTAAAATATGAGTGTAATAGAGTGTAATATTAAGACTCCTCTTTTTTTTGCCGTGTGTTTCAGGGCGTAATCTGAGGTGTGGGAGTTTGTGGAAGTGCTCCATGGGAATTCTTGGCTTAGAGAACATGTTTAACCGTCCACAGCACAGAGATATCGCTATACAGGGCGTCCGAAAAGTCAGGAACCAGCGACAGTAAAACTACACTTAATTTTGTATTTGTTATTTCCATCACATGCTCTACACGCTCACCCTTACGCATTTCCTCAGCCGCTGTATCAAGTGTTTGTGGATTTTTCCTCGGTATATTCGGATCGTCATATTTGCTCAAGCCGTTGGTTCCTGACTTTTCGGACCCCCTGTAGATCTAACGATGAGAGACGCATCTTTTCATCATGTCCTCCGTTTGTTGCAGTTGCTAGAGAAATGGTTGTTTATTTCTCAGATTTACTGTTATTTTATACAACTTGCTGTTGTTGTTTTTTTAAGAATAATATTTAAACGCTCCATACAGGGGACGTCTTATTATAATACAGTCATGTTGCTGCTCAAGTTGTCGTCATGACGACAGAATGACGCCCCCGGTGCGCTTGATATCATCAGTACCTGGTTTTGAACCAGCAGTATTTTGCCACTGGTATTGGGATGGATGGAAGAAGACTAGATTAAGTTCAGTACATCATTAGGGCAAGTAGGGTCTCTGGAGGACTAGTGGTTAGGTCTCGCCACTGTCAACGCCTCGGCTCGGGTTCGATTCCCAGCCAGGGAACCGCACACGACAGTGCTCTCCCAGTGCCGGTCCCAAGCCCGGATAAATTTGGGGAGGGCTGAGTCAGGAAGGGCATCCGGCGTAAAAACTATGCCAAATGAAATATGCGGACCAATAATCCATTGTAGCGACCCCTAACGGGAGCAGCCAAAAGAGGAACATCATCATCATCATCATCATTAGGGCAATTTGTAATAATACTGTGTGCATTATGTACTGAACATATGGCCAGGTTGGGTGGTGTAGTAAAAAGTGTGTGTGCGCGCACCCGTGTGGTGATGATGAGACGTGTTGTATGTTGAGTAATGTTTACAGGTGATTCATTGTGGAGTCTCTCAGAGGCTGTAAACCTAATCATCAGACTGTCATGGTGAAGTCTGACACACGGCTGTAGATGACCAATGAGTCGGAGAGCGAGAGAGAATTAGCGTTTCTCTCATTTAACGAAACAAAAAATCACACGAATGACCCCTGCTTTGACTTACTAAAAGCTCTATATAAATAATTGAAACCCAGATTTAAACTTCATTCCTGCATAATTCAGACTGGCAGTGGAATATGTGTATGACTGGCAACGTCCTGTCCTTTCTCACACACACACACACATACACACACACACACGTGGATGATTTCCCCATCTCCCTCTTCAGGAGGCAGCAGCTGAGCATCTGTGTGTGTGTGTGTGTGTGTGTGTGTGTGTGTGAGAGAGAGAGAGAGAGAGAGAGAGTGAACTTTGTATTGATGGTGTTGATTGCGAGGATTGTGAGGATGTCATGCTCACCGGGAGGGTTTTGCGATCCAGCACAGGATGTTCCCTCTGTAGGCATCACTGTCGAAGGAGGCGTGTGCAGTAATGCATGCTGGGTAGTGGCAGGGGTGAAAGGCTGACATTGTTATTGGCAGGAGGCTGCTGTTAACACCAGGCTTAAAATAGTGACATTAATAAAGCTGAGAGCTGCTTTCTTTCAAGTAACGAGTGTGGCTCATTTAGTGTAGATGCATGAGAAGAGCGCTGCATTTTTAATATAAAATCCTCCATTTTAATACGAGTTACATACAAACAGGTGCAGGCTAAATGACATTTTAATATCATAACTGTCTAAGCTTAGAACAATATAATAATATTATCAGTACAGGTCTCATTAGATCTTATATAAGAACTCACATAATGGTACATGTGACGACAAAACAAAACAAAAAAACCTTACGCTCGCATTCCGTTCACAATGTTAATATAAACAGCTAATTTGAATCTAGGTTTAATCCTAAAATCTGACCAAAATATATGTTATATTTATATTTTATATTTGTTTATTGTTAGTTTTAGATGACGAAAGACGACAGCGATTTATGCTAGGTCTAGCTAGCTAGTATTATTTCTTTTTTCTAGTGGATAAAACATTTTGTCACATAATAATTGTACGGTCACTGTAAAAAAAAAAAATTTATACTATCACTGAACAAGTAAACAGTGTAACCGGATCTTTCTTCAGTTACGTAGCGTTAGCATCATGTGTAATGCTTTCTCACCTCTTGTCGTGCCCTGTGCACCTGAAAGCATCCTTTCTTCATTATTTGTCTTATATCATTTTTAAAGATGACTGGGTAAAAAGTTACAATTCTGACATTTTCGTCTTGTTTTATATGTTGAGGGAAATGTAACATTTTGTCATTAGTTTTGAGAGGAAGGGTGAGTTATTACGTTAACATTTTTTGGTCTTAGTTTTCATCAGCAAAATGAACACTGGTTGTTTCTGAATAATTTCCTGTCTGCTCGTGTGTCCTGTAGTGTCAGAGCTGCAGGAGGAAGGCATGAACGCCATAAACCTGCCTCTGAGTCCCACACCGTACGAGCTGCATCCGGAGGACACCATGCTGGGTACGTCACCGCACCCTCTATACACACACACACGCACACGATTTCTCCAGCCCAGTCTCACATTCTGCACATTTTTGTGTTTTATCCTGCTCTTACACACCTCATCCAGCTCATCAGGTCATTATAGCTGGGTCCAGCAGCAGTTCTAGGAGTTTCATGCAAATAATAAATATTACACCCCACTGCTGTTGAATTCTTGATTCTGATTGGTCAAAAGGTGTGGATTAACTTTCTGTAACAGCAGGTCTGACAGTAGTTCTGGCTGCATTTCAAATCACGTTTATATTAATGTACTCGTTGTAATACCTTATCGTTTCTATAGTAACAGGGAGTTGTATAGCGGACACTCCACATAAGACTCATAAGACTAATAATGAATGGAATAAAAGGCCGTGCTATTATTTAACAAAGAAAAATATAATGGCTGATATGGTGACGTTTTCTGTAAGGAGACATTTATTTAACATTTATGGAAGGAGTCTCCAGTGTCGGTGCTTTGTAACTGTTAGTAAATTTTCCACTTCAGGAAAGTCTTCAGGACAGAGTAGTTTACATTTTGCGGTTTCTCAGTAACATAACAATAGAGCTGTGCAATATGGCGATACATATTGGAGGACGATAGAAAAAATCGAATCTATTGATTGTCTACATTTATTTCGCCAGTGTCGCAAACGCCACTTTTTGGCAGCTGAGTTACCACACTAAGGTCGGCGTTAGGAGCTAACATGTAGCTATGATTACACAGATGACACATGTGTCATTCTTTAATTAATAAAAATTGGAATTGACAAATTGCTGTGGTATAAGAGGAATAAAGCATTTCAGGATGTGCTGTTATTGGAAAATAATCCACTTCGGGGTGAACACAGTAACTCCGCTTCACACAGGGCCGCATCAGATCACCCTGTCATTGATTATTTTCCAGTAACAGCACATTTCCTATAGAAGTGCTTTATGCCTTACACAGACTACATGATTGTTGCTTGCTGCATGATTGTGACTTACAGCAAATTTTTACATGGTTATAGATGGGTTGTCTAGTTGTCTTTTTGGAAAATTCTTCAACTTATTATTTCTTATTATTATTAATCAAAGTAGAACAAGCAAAAAATTACTGGATAGAAACATTATGAATAGAATTAGTAAAAAAAATTATTATTGCAATAAATTGTGAATTGAGGCATGAAAACACCATCACTTCTGTTATTCTATCACATTAACGTATACCACATATACAGTATTAATAGTCAAAAGGAGCACTTTTATTTAAAAAGTAGTATAAGCCGGGGCTCCCGAGTGCACCACAGAAAAGCGTTCAGGAAATCGTGAGCTGGGAATGAGCCCATGGCTGCGAGAGCAAAACTGGTCATGCCCTCTGGGTGGGAGGGGCATACTCTCTCCCCCCCTGTCAATCACAGTGAGAGTAGCCAGTCCTGGGCATCTGTGAGCTCATGTATGTGGAAGAGGACGGAGAGCTCTTTCCTCTAGGTGTGTTACACTGCCCTGTGATGCAGCATGAGCAGCAGTTCTAAAAAGATGCAGTTGGCTGGCTTCACGTGTCTCAGAGAAAGCATGTGTTAGCCTTCACCCTCCGTGGTTGGTAGCTGTTGTGTGACAGGGGAGAGATGGTGGGTGGGAATTTAGCTAGATTCCTTGTGGTCCAGCTCTGGCTTGTTCAGGTGATCGAGAGGAACACAAATATACAGTACATGCGTTCTCGCATTGCATCTTTTACATTCTTTATCCAACTTTCTTGTCTTTTCACTTCAAACAGAGGAGAATGAGGTTCGCACCATGGTGGACCCCAACTCCAAGAACAACAGCAAACTGCAGGAGCTGATGAAGGTGAGGATGAGGAGCAACTGTAAAGGTTCTCAGTCCTGCAGGCCATCGAGCATCACTGTTTAACGATGATGTCTCACTCAGGTGCTTATCGACTGGATCAATGACGTGCTGGTCGGTGAGAGGATCATCGTTAAGGACCTGGCAGAGGATCTGTATGATGGACAAGTTCTGCAGAAGCTCTTTGGTGAGGATCCTTAGCACCTTAGAAGTGGACCACTGCGGTGGCGATCAGTTCATGTCCTTCAGATTAAAGGAGTGGTTTGTAAATTTCAAGCCCTCTGCAGGCTGCCTCGTGAAGTACAGTTGTAATGAAACACTGACGAGCTTTCCTCTCACAACCGAACGCCATGACGACTTCTTCATGAGCCTATTAGCAGAAAAGGGAAGAGCTGACCAGAATTTCATGACCAGAAAATATAAACAGAAGAAATTAGCCAAGTCTGTTGTATGACACTATTGCAAGTGATGTCTTTTTCTAATATATTTTTTAAATGATAAGATAATTACAGGTCTGGAAACATCTTTAAACATTACATACTGCATCTTTAAACCTAAATGGACCCCGTACACTAGACATCCTTGTGTTTTCTGTGCTCACACACACCCCGATCTAGATATCGAGTCATTATGAAGCTTTTAATGAGTGGCTCAAGTGTGTTTAAAAAAGTAAAAGAAGAAACACACACAATGTGTGTGTCCTGCTTCATTTGTTTTCCATTCATTTGTAAATTCAGTCATCCCAAATGTGATTAACAAAATAAACAAAAAAATATATATAGTTTAATATGTTAACATGGAATTGTGATAACGTTTTGTTTTTGTTTTCTTTGAATAAATCTACTTTAATTAAATATTAGATTTCTCTCATATTGATAGTATAGTATAAAGTTAAGCTAATTAACCACAAAGAGATTTTTTTCATAACTTTTTTTAAACCTATTTTTAACAAGGGTGCCAATAATTCTTCACAATCGCTTCCCCCCCACCCCACTTTCTCATATCCATCTCTGTCTGTTCTCCTCGTTCTTCGCCTTGTGTATCTCGTCCTTCAGAGAAGCTGGAGGGAGAGAAGCTGAACGTGGCGGAGGTAACCCAGTCCGAGATCGCTCAGAAGCAGAAACTCCAGACGGTCCTCGAGCGCATCAACGAGGTTCTGAAAGTCTCCCCCAGAAGCACCAAATGGAACGTCGACTGTAAGCTTGGATATTGTAATGTTCTGCACAAACCTGAAGATGATAGCTGTAGTACAGTGTGCTCAGAGCTAGCATACTGTGAG